ATATATTTATCTTATATTTTTTTGACAATAGACACCTATCTGAAATGTTGTAATTATCTTTCTTTTTAGGAATAAGTTGTAAAAAAATCATGTCATTTTTAATTTACTTCTTTGGGAGGTGCAATATCTGAATGGTGTTCTAATCTTTTTAACTTTATGCTATTTTTGATAAAAATGTATAAATTAATTCATAATAAACAAAAAGAACGAAAATAAAAATCTAAGTTCTGTCCAATAGCGCAGAGAGATTATGTTATTAGCTAAGGTTTTTCAATGTCCTCAAATACTCCAAAATCTTACAGTTTTCATGTGAAAAATGTAGAAAATAATTATAATTATATATATATATATATATTTCATATACAACAAATACCTTTATTTTTTATCAAACTGTCTATTAGATTATTAGGTATTAAAGGCGATATAATGGAACCGATTAGTTTGGTAGGCCGCTTGCATTAGTTAATACACCAAGACAATAGTTATTTTGTTTTTTTATGCTTCACCATTCCACCCCACGCCCCTCTGTATTCAAGTTTTTGTGTAGCATCAGCATGTAATATAAGGCCTTAAGAAATCTGTGTGCCAACACTTTTAACAAAGATGAAAGATTTTAATTCCTGATCTAATTAAGCCTTCGCCCTGGAGCATATTTTGCTCAGAAAATGCTACTCAAGTCCAGCTTTCATTTCCTATGCATTCCAAATATTTAGCCTAAATATACCTTTTATAATCTTTGGTAATTTATATTTAGTTTGTATGCGTTTGAAGCTAACTATCGCTCTAAAATGCATATGCAATTCATTAAAAAAATCATCATCTTAAAGATAGATTGAAATTTATTACCAACTGTTGAGTTGAGATACTTATCTTAAAAATGTAGCGCAGAGACTAACCAGCTCAGCGTGCAAAGCAAAATAAGGATTTATACTTAGGAGTCTACGCACACGTTTTTCTACTTCGTAGCGCTATGTTCATTGTTAATTTTAAATGACCTATAATATTAAGCCGAAGGATTTTTGCTCAGCCAATTCAGATTAGTTTGGAGAACTCGTGGCTCATTTCATTGGGCCACAAACCATGAGTAGAGAATTAAAATCTGCGGCACATGAAGGCTTGACATTTTTCTGAAGGATACATTGTCAGATTACATTAAGATGGTTGACCAAAGTTTTTCCCCTTGCATCTAGCTGTGGAATATCTTAAAACCGGAGTTTGCAGCATTGCTAATTAGGGCACATTATCCTTCTTTGCTAAGTACACTTTCGAGGAGAGCGATCAGACTGCTCAACATTTGCTGATCCTGTTTCAAGCATGCATGCCGTCGTTCATCTCAGTAAAACTATCATTTTGCCCTTTTCATACCCATTGAGTGAGGAAGACCTTCAGACAGAGGCCAACATGGTATTCACATTGGGAGAACGAGCAAGTCGGCAGACTTATATTCTCAAGGTAGACGCGACTGACAATAAGCTGGAGATAACATCCTCACATAGCCCATCGCTAAAATCCCGATCCACGAATTCGGTTCGGCCTCTTCTGGCACTTCAATACAACGAGCTGATGGCGATGTACGGCCGAGATCGGTACACAAATGACTGCATCTTGGTTGCCTCGTTAGAAGGAAATGTAATTTACGAGTTTTTGACTTTTCAGTCAAAAAAACAAATGGAAAAACTGATCAGCATATTGGTTAAAGTGAAGGAATTTCAACAGGCGACCAGTATCGCAGATTCGCCCGGGAATATGAGACCAAAACCTGATCAGTTTTTCGGAAGGTCAAAGAAACAGACAGCCAGCACCAAGTTATTCCCAATTTTACGGAACACCTACATGCCACGAATTTCCCAGATGAGTCGCTGCAGGATCGCCAACACCAGGCGATTGGTATATGCAGCCTCAACCCATTCTGCCCTCGAAACTGATATTGATGGCTTGTCACAATCTTGGCAGAATGACGACAAACAAGCGCTTTGGATTGACGGGGAAGGTGAAGAAAGCTTTCATCAAGTCAACGATTGGCTGTTCATTCACTGTGTTTGTCTCCTCCTCATTCGGGAGTTTTTCCCGGGGCAGTTGTCTCCCGGCTCTAGCGTCGAGAGTGAAATGACCACCAATCTCACTTCCAATACAGTATCTTCGCTTTCCTTAGAAACAGTGTACCAAACGTTGTCGAAAATAATGGAAGAAGATTGCTTCAGCCGCGTTGAAAATGAGTATATCTTGTTGGAATACCCTCTTCACTTTAGCCTAACTCCGAGAAGTCGCGCCCGGCCGCTTCGGATGGCTGACATTGAGTATTACGCTGTCACGAATGCGTGGCTA